ATAGAATATTATAAAATTACTTATAAAGTAAAACTTTTATTATTATAATTTTTATAATTTATTAAGAAATTTTATGAATTTAATTAATAATAATGTGATTCAATTAGTACGTAAGTATATAAATTTTTAAAGAATTTTTAAAAAATTATTATATGAAATTGTTTGAAATTTAATTTTAAAATTAGATTATTTTAAAAACCTTTTATAAAACTTAAAATCTTTATTAATAAAGTTAATAAAAAATATATTAAACTATATTTTTTTATAATAATATTTTTAAAATTAATATTTAATATTTTATAAAGAAATTAACACTTTTTTTTTTAATTTCACAGGCAAATTTGCCTGCTTTACAGTCTAAGGGATAATAAAAATGCATTAATATATAGGACCTTTGCAATAGAAAGAAGAAAAAAATCAAAAATGAGTTAATGCTAAATTTGAACATATTTCATTCTAAAAATCATATTTGTCATATAATAGTAAAACTAGGTAACGGGAACAGTTAGAAGCATTCGAAATATTAATCAATATAAAATATCTTTAATACTATTTATTTATAAGTTAAAAATATGATTAATTAAAAAATGTCTGTATTATTAAATTAAAAATTATCAATTTCTAACTTTATTAGGATAATTTAATCATGTTTTATAATTGTGTATGTTGATCTTTTTAAATAATTAAATAAATGTTCGAAAAACTGAAAAAATCATGTTATACAAAATGATTGACAGAAATATGATTGGCAGATTACGCGTTGTGACAGATATCACATGCATAGTTTTAGCTCTAATCAGAAATGTTCTACGCTTATACTTCAGACTATTAATTTTTTCTGGTAGTTTCTTCCCTTTCTATTGCAAAAGCCTCATATTATAATGAAGATAAAAAGAAATATAAATATATTTTTATTATCATTTAAAATTTGAATACTTTTACTTGTAAAAACTTAATATTCTAATATTATCTGATTCAATAATTATAACATCTATTGCAACATAATCTTAAACAAAATCCGACACATCACCATTAAAGATGACTTCCTAAACTATTTTTAGAAAATTTGAGTTTTAAGATATTTGAAATAAAACTATTTGTTTATAATAAATATCTTTATCTAAACTTCTAATAAGGTTTTCCTAAACTCAATTAAGTTTCATCAAGTTTTAGATTTAAAAAAAAAGTCATTTTAAAGATTTTGAAAAAGTTTCTAAATTTTTAAGCTACAGGTTTGAATAACATCATTAATCACCACTATTGTTAATTTCAATTCCCTTAAGATCTATTATAAATTTCCAATGCAAAAATTTCTCAACTAATATTTCTTGAATAATGTTCTATATGAATTCTTAATAGGTAAATATTTTGATGATCCAAATGATTTGCAATATCATTTCTAGATCGGACTGGATCGACTGAAAACCAATTATATTAAAGTCAGAATTGATATAATTGATAAACAGAGCCAAGAATACGTCTGAGATATTTGGGTATTATATTAAAACTTCTGAATTTGAATGTTTGGAATAATTGAACGAAAGGTAGTGAAATTTGAGTTGGACATTTTTTATTTAACAAGAACTTCAAAAATTCTTGTTAAAATATTGATCAACAAAATTTTTTGTTCTCGCACCAGTATAAGACCATAATTTAATCCGAGATTTTATCAAAGTTTAAATCTATTAAATATTATTTACGAAAATTAGGATTATCAGATTATAAACTCATAAAATACAAAAATGCAACTATGTAGTATAAAAGTATAAAAGATACAAATGTGATGACTTCAACTCACGATTTTAAACAGATAGCAGAAAGAAACACGACGGCGGGATTATTAATTTTCATTAAAAAAGAGTGTTAGGACTTGTTGCTAGGATAATAAAGCTACTTTAAATGCTACTTTACATTGTCATTATTAGATCAAATTCTTTACCATTAGGGCAATAGATAGTAATCCTTGCAAAGAACAATTATTTTTACTCGGAATCTGACAACTGAAACTTATCAATTGTGTTAATTACATTTAAATAAAAATCGCGGGAAAAAATGAGAAATCTAGCCAAAATTAGGTTGATCAGACCATATGACAGACATCTTTACAATTGGTGAACCTTTGTATACATACAATAAACAAAACATTGACTCCGATCAAAATTACTTCAACTTATGGTTAGTTCCATTATACGTCGTTTACCATGCGCCCTATAAGCATTTTTTAGAATAATCGTATATAAATCCACTATATTTTTTTTTATTAATAATATGTTATTTATTATATAATACAAAATAGAGTATTAATTAACAATAGATTCAAAGGCTTAAAAAAATGAAATAAAGAAAAAAAGACAAGCTAATTTAAATCTTAAATAATTTCTGCGCCTTATATTTTTGCAGCAAAAAAAAATTTTTTTGATTTCGTCACTAAAATTAATTCTGATGGGTTCTATTCTTATAATTTTTTCTTTTTACTTGAGTTATAAAGAAATTAAAAAGAACGATTTTTGTTTCGCGTCTTACTTCCACGATTTCTAATTAAGATTTTTTTTAATCAAACGTCAAAACTATAATATTTAAAAATTTTACTCATTCTTTCCGAACCGGATTCAGCCACATCCAACTTTCTCGAATGAACTCTTCCTTTGCCATGGGATAGTTTTGTATAACAATACCTTCTACTAAAGTTGTCATTGATCCTCCATCCGTTGATGGTATAAAGGTTTTTGAGTAAAGATTCGCTCATTTCGACGGTATGAAGTGAATGATTCTTTTGTAAATTATCTAAAAGGTCCCTAATAATTATTGGTGTCAAACACAACACACCGGTAAAATCAATGTACTTTATGCTTGGCATCGATTTAAGAAAGCTATCTAATTGAGTAGAAAATGGAATTTGAGCTTTTGCAATTCCAAGGAATTGTAAAGAAGAAGTGCAATTTTCCTGTATGGCATACAAAGTACTTGTTGTCATGTGAGACAAACCAACGTCCAAGGTTTGTAAATTCTTAACAGATGGAGAGCTTAAAATGGTAATAAGATCATATTCGCTAATAGCGGTGGCAATACCATAAAGGTTGAGAACTCTCAAATTCTCACATTGAATTACCAAAGATGCGATAGCCTCAGAAGAAATATTTTTACATCTGGCGAGTAATAAATGGGTTAATATTTTTGTCAAGTTGGTTTTAGTTGCAAGGAAATTAATTGTCATATCACTAATGGAACAACCACCCAAATCAAGGTGAGTGATGTTTGGTGCGTGTGCAAGTAGGGTAAGAATGGTGGAATATTCCGAGATGATTGAACATTCGTGTAAAGAAAGGCGTTTAAGGACTGATAATGCTACATTATTCACATTTTGGAATGAGTGAGTCAGCTCCTCTTCATCATCTTCTTCTTCATAATATTGAACCAATCTTGCACGACCCATAACTTCTGCTAAGGAGGCAAGAGCCGAACCGAATTGTTTGCTCGAAAATCCACAAAAATCCAAAGTTTTAATGTTCTTAGATTCGAAAGCGAGAACCTGTAAAACTTCAAAATTGATAGTTGATTCCAACGTTTCCGAAACGGAGAAAGTCTCCAACATGATGCAAGATCGTAGAATGCTTATAAGAGTTTCTGGGGTAACGACCTTCTGAATTGTAGCGTCGCTCTTTTGTAAGCCCATGGTAGAGAAACCAGAAAGATCCAAATGACGAATCATTCGGTAACGCTGAGATTCACCGATGGTAGCTTTGGCGAATAAAGTAAAGGTGTAAGGGAATGAGAAAGAAACGGTATGATATAAGATTGGTGTGACGTGAAGATTAAACGTGCGATTTACTAAAGCGCAAGCGGTAATGGTTTTCTTGTCACCTTTTAATAAACCAAGAATTATACGAATGATTTCGGGGGGAATGTTAGGAATATTTTTCGTATTTGAATTTTTGACTAAAGGCTGATTAGCAGGAGGATGACTGTAGGAAATTTGTCGAGTGGCAGATAAAACTAAACCAGACATTTTTAATTGTTTATATATATTGTTAATAATTTGCAAAGCGATATTTATGTATTATAATGTATTTAAAAAAAAATTAAGTGAAGGAGGGAAAGGTGAATTGAAAAATGTCCCTATATTTATAACTGAATCGAAAGTGTTATTTTATTAATGTATTGTATAAAGTATATATATATTTTTTAATTGTTTTACACAGTTATACAATACAATAAAATTAAAATATTTATGAATTATTTTAATTTATATGAATTTTTTAATAAACAAAAAAAGGTCACTTGAAACGTCAATTACCTTTCTACCAAAACATATTTGTTGTTAATCAAATTGATTACGGACAAGATTATGTAATTATCCCCCCAACAATTTTTTTCCCACAGCATCCTCTTTTTTTTTCGCGCGCTTTTATTAAAAAAAAAATTTTTTACAATAATTAATATTAATTCTTGATAAGCATAGATTAAACTTTTAAAGTAATCTTATCTGATTCATGTCTAATCGGGTCTTAATTTTTTTTTTATAATAATGTTATTTTATAGAAAGCAAGACTAATAAAATTTGCTAACGATAGGATTACTTTGGTTTATTATTATTATTATATTTTTATATTTATTTTTAAAAAAAAAAATTTTGTAAAAAAGATTTCGAAGTTTTTCATTGATAACTAATTAACGGATCAAAGAATTTTTTTTTTGATAATACTGTATGCTGTTTATTTTCACGATGCTTCACAAATTTGAAGATCGGTTATACGAAAAATCATTTGGAAATTCCACAAACAAATAATTTAATAAATAACCTGTCAATGAAATCCTTGTCACTAACGTTTAGATATGCTGGAAAGTTATTTTTTTTTTTATACTATGGCCATTTTTAAAAGTTACAAATATCGTTTAATGTAATAAAAAAAGTTTCTCATTTTCTTAACTATTGAAAAAGAAATAAATAACATTTGATTTCCTAAATGGATTTAAATATACAGAAAGAAATATTTTTTAATCTATTAGTTTATTTACACCTATGGTTTATTTCATTTGTTTAAAGTAATAAATGGGGTGATGTTTTCAAAATAAAACTTGATAAAATAAAGGGAAGTTCTATTATTATTTTTATTATCTCTATTGTATTCATTTAAATCATATCTTATCAAGAACAATAATTTATTTGCCGTCGCATATTAATATAGGAATGTTATTATAAAAATATAATCGCCGATTTACGTAACACATTACAAAGGTCATATTTACTTTTATTTATTTATGTTTTTAGTTTACCTTATCTTACATTTGTTTGATTTACTTCAAAGCCGTGTAACATTTTGGTTTTTGTTTATTTTTATTTTAAATAAATTTCATATAATAAACAAGTTGCATGTTCGTTCTCATGCATCGACCTTCTTTTATTCCACAAAGAAATGATGAATTTTAAAGCCGGTGTAGAAATGTTTTGTGTTCAAATTTTTTTTTGATTTTTATAAACCGGTTATGGCGGTAAATTGTTTAAATGGTTCTAAAAGTTTGAACACAATTTCATATTCAATTTGACCATTGTTGCACATATTTATCGTTGGTTCAGCTTTCCAATTTTCTTTAGGCTTTTTTAACGTAAAAAATTCCCATATTTTCAGCCGATATTTACTGTATCACTGTATCACTTTCGAAGTTACTTTGTTTCAGAAAGTGTATTTGTAAAATGATTAGTTATTTCTTTTTTTTGTAATTATTAATCGGGGCTCAAAAAAAAAATCCTCAATGGAAAAAAATTTTTTTTTTATCTTTACATAACTTCAAATCTAATCTTTTCTCAACATTTTCTTTAAAAAAGACCAATTTCAATTTATTACTGCCCTTACAGACCGCTAAATCTTAATAGATAGAAAGGATTTTTTAAAAAGAAGTCTGCCAAGGGTAGGAATGCAAAAGAAAACACCACCTATTGGGACATTTCATTTCAGAATTTGCACCTTTTAACAACTACTTTAACCGATTTAACCATAAAAAGGGATGGTTTTGGCTTTTGATATGACGAAGAGGCCTGCCTTTGTAGAATTATAATAAAATCGACTAGGAAATGGAAAATATTGTGAAGACTGATCTAATATCACGTGACACGACATCGGCCAATAAAAACGATTGCGTTTTTGTGTAACTAAAGAAGAAACCCACGATTGGCAAAAAATGCGTCTGTAAATTCTTTAAACTTTCTCGAATATTAGCAATGAAAAAAAGCAATTAATACCTGGCATATTAAGTGTAAGTTAATTGTAAATCAAAAAATCAAAAATAAATTAGGATTTTAAATCAAATCGAATACTTTATTTAATTACGATAGATATACAATGATTGTCATAGTATTGGCCCAAATTATCATAGGTTTCGACCAATAAAATCACGTTCATGTGACTCGATTTTTGTTTCAAATTTAAGCTGATCATGTAAAAATCATACAACTTTAATCATTTATAATTTTTATCTAAAACTTATTTTATAATTTTAACTAGTAACTTAATAGAGCTTATAATAAAAACAAAGTTATCAGTTTATTTCTTTTATTATTTATTTTTTTTAAAATATGAAAAAATTTTAAGTGTTATATTTTTATTGTTGAATATATAGACTTCTAGCATCATATAAGTTAAAAATTTTCAATATCAGAAAATGATATTCTTTTTAAATTCTTAAAAATGAAACTATATAAAAATAATCAAAAAAAATCTAAGCAGTTAACTAAATTAATAGTTTAATTCTAAAAATCTAAAAAAAAATTTATATAACTTAAAAGTAAATTTGATTTATATAGCAGTTTTTATAAAGTTCCTCTCATATTAATTATATTGTTAAAAGAAAGCTATAAATTCTTTCTGAAATAGAAGAAATATCAGTAAAATTTAAATGTATAAGTTTATATTATATTACATCACTTACAAATTTCAAAATAATATAAAATAAAATAAAATCTTTTAGAATCTTCATATCAAATTCAAAGTATTAGTTCAAAAAATAAAAAAAAAATTAAGCAAAATATTCTTTAAAAGAAAAAAAATTAAAAAATTGGATAAATAATTTATATTAATATATATTTACAGTAATACTTATATTTGTAAACTTAAATAAAATAATCACTAATGATAAATTATATATATTATAGTGGCTTTTAAATATCTAATAGTGATTTGATATTTTATCAAAAAATAAAAATTAGACAAAATATTCTTATGATTTATATGATTTTATAAAAGATCATATCAAATTAATAACTTTAAATAATATATTACATTTATAATATATCAAAATTTAAGTTAATTTGAATTACTGATTACTGTATAATTCTAAAATTAAGCATTTTTATATTATATAAATACTTCAAAAAAAAAATCCTTTTAAAAATTGTAATAAATATATCATTATTTTATTAAAGAAAAGAAATATATAAATAAAAAACAAAATTTAACTACTCTTTATTATCAAATATATCCAAAAGTAACTTTAACATTAATTTTCATAATATTTAATAATTTAAATTAAACAGAAAATTTATACATTATAAATAAATAATATATTTATAATATATCAAAATTTAAGCTAATTTTAATTACTGGTTAATAAAAAATTTAAAATAATAATAATATAAAATTTTATAAAAAATTATATTAAAGTTTTTGTACATAATTATTACCATTGAATATCTCAAAATCCGGTAATTTAAATTAAACTAAAATTTAATATATTATTAATATAATCTAATTTTATATAATAATATAAGTTAATTTAAATTACAAATATTGGAAAATTAAATATATTATTTAATTTATAATAAATTATTAATAAGAATTTATATGTTATTATTTATATCAATATTTTCAGCAACTAATGATTCAGATATTTTAAATTTTATATGTAATAGGGCTAGATTGTATTTATAATATATTAAATTTTGATCTATTTTAAAACATTAGATTTTAAGATATTTAATGATTATGATTGTATGTGTAAACTTTTAAAGAACTTCTATAATTGTTTTATATTTATTATTATAAATGCTACAATTAATACAAATAGTATTAATGATTAAAGTTTTTAAATTAATTATTACTTAACTTAATATTTATTGATGTATCTTCATATTCTTCTTTATTAGCATCAGTAAATTCAAAATCCTCTTTATTTTTTTTATTAGAATTTTTATTAATAATTTCATTTGATATATTGTAAGTTTTAAAAGACTTGATAATTATTTTATTATAAATATCTTTTCATAAACTTAAAACCTATTTACAAATATTGCTTAATTTTGTATGCTTAAGATTCTTTTTATCAATTAGTCTAGTATTAATTAACACTTATCATCTATAAACCCATTCTTTATAAAGTTTATCTTTAAATAGTTTATTAATTAAAACATTCAATATTTGGTATATGTTTTTTAAATTATTCAGAATTATTGCTAAATTAAACCTACTATCCTAAAACTTTTTCTTAACTGATCCTTTTAAATAACCTTTAAATAAATCAAAAATTCATCATAGATATATACATATTATCATTACTTCTTAAAATATTATTGAAATAATCAAAATATTTAATTATCAAATTGATATCTATTTATCTATTCTTCTAAAACAGATAATTACAATTAGAGAAATTTATTTTTTACATGATAATTATTTTTTTTTAAATATACATATTAGTTACTTTATTTATAATAAAAAGCAAAATATATTTAAAAAATATTAGTAAATAATAATTAAATTTAATTTATAAACTTAAAAAATCTAAAAAATAATTAAAAATTTTTTTCAATTTTTAATCTATCACTTTAGTATTCTAGTAAAAAAAAACTTTAAAAAAATAATTTAAAAACAAAAAAATATTTTTTTTTATTATCAGTATTATGAATATAAATTCTTTTTCTTCTTTTAATTACTAGTAAAATTTCAGTTATATCAAACAAATAGATGTCTCATAAATGTTGAAATGTTATTTAGATTAAAACATTTTTCAATTATA